AATTTTTTTGTGATTTTTCCAAGGAAACTGTATCAAAAATTGATTGTATCTCAAAACTAACCTCGGATTCGGTTTTCTCGTGCCAAAAAACCCCCCATTACATATTTTTGAGTGTTTAAGTCTACATTAAGTATGACTTTTGGACGAAAATTGGACTCTTTTTCATAGGTATCACTCCAGGCATGAAATTTTTTTCCATCAACCAAAATCGCTCAAAATCTAATGATTTCTATTCCTCGGGACCCCCAATCATCCCGTGAAGTCAGATTTTAAATAACTTTTCTGGGGGGTGAGATAATCGATGGACAAATTTTGCGTACGGCGGACAACGTACGACGTACGACGTACGACGTGGAACAGACCCACAACAACCATGCTCAAAACGGCCTGATTCGGGTTCTCTGACCTCAGAAACGTCCAGAAAACATGTTTTTGAGATGTCGTAAATTTTGACCCATTACAATACTTTCCCCTTTCACACTATATGTGTGCGGAAAAGTAAAAGAATACGAAGTATATGCAGCGTTGCATGCAGTGGATGAGCCATCAGTTGAATTGTACGGCATTCCAAATGTGTATCATTATGGTACTTGGGGTGATGCTTATATCATGATGGGCATTACATTACTCGACCAGGACTTCGATCAGGATTATTACTTTGGTCAGCTAAATACAGTCGATAATCTGATTCTGTGCAAAGAATTCGTAAGTATGCCACTTTGATAAAAGAAGTAGCTTCTTTTTGATGAAAGTTGTTTTAAACTGTCACACACGTTTTTGGTGACGAAGAACTTAGTAAAATGCCTAAAGTAAAACCTCTGAATTCCAATCGATGCTTATATATTCTTAATTACTTCCAAGGTGCGAATATCAAAATACATACACAGCTATGGCATTCAGCACAAGGACATCGCAAGTCGTAATATAATGTTCCGTAGAAACAATGGCTTCATCATTGGTGAGTATAAACTATAGTTCCACGAAAGAACACAATAAGACATGACCCTTTGAAATTCAGATTTTAATCGGGCTGAAAAGATGTACAACAAACCAAAAATAGACTCCTCAGCCAGACAGGCTGGTATACAATTCGCAAAAAATGATTGGATATCTTTCCTTCAGTTCATGGTATGTGGCATATGAAAATTGTGCATTATTTTAAAATTAGTTCATTGTTTTTCTTTGTTTTAAAGGAAAATCGAAACGAAAGAAATGATAATTTATCGAGAGTTCTTGCGGAAATGAGAAATCATATCTATGATGAATCGAAAGTAAACGGTAAGATCATTCGAAAATTTATGAATCATTAAAGTCACGAAATGGCCTCGTCAAATTGTATTTTTCAGAAATTATTTTCGGTGTGAATTTAATTGCAATAGAGTAAACGAACTATCGATTCATTTTTATAGATAAAAAATCATCTTATGATCAAATATACGAAATGATTGAAAAAGAAATGAATGCATATGGAATGGGACAACCAACCCTGTGCCATTGGTTATACGGAACAGAAAATGAAGCTGTAGCAAGACGGGAATTTAAGGTGAATCTAACAGTGCCCATTTCATCTATAGCAAATCCTTTTAAATTAACTAGGATTCAATATTCAGAAGTGGATTTCAAGCACTTTAATAAAAAGATTTCACAGCTGAAAAAACAAGGACTTTTGCCATCCAGATCAAGATTATGATCGGATGAAAAAAAAATGAATTAAAATTTATGAATGGATGCAAACGGAATTCTTGAATTTGAAAAAAAAGTCTTCATGTAAACCAAAAATGTCGATAATTTGATTAATTGTAAAAATCAATTTTCCATATAATTAATAAATTCAAATTTTTAATAGCTTCTTTGCAATCGTTTCTTTTCGCCAAACAGGAGTACATGTTATTCCAATCTAAATAATTCAGACAGCGAATTGATGAATTGTCAAAAATGAATTTTGACCAAGTTTATTTTGCTGTGTTTAGACTATAAAAGGCAGCGAATTCATTTTGACAGATTGTTATTACTGCATAATCGTATCAAATTTTGCCATTCATTCGAAACGAGACGAACGAACGTCAAGACGTATTATTATTTTGGAAGCATCAAATCAGATTGTCATCGAATTAACATATCTTCAATTCATTTGAAACATTCTACCGTTCGTATAAGAGCTGGAATTAACTTATTATCAAAGCGCGAGAAAGGTAAGATCATCAAAGGGGTCCTCATCTAAAAACTGCTGCTGATAATTATAAATAGCAGACTGGCATTGGCAGGATCAGACCAGTTTGTCTCGACCTAATACTAGGTACATGACTCTCTTCATAATTGCTACAATGAATCAATAGTTTTATTTCGATTCGGTTTTTTCTAATGCAGTTCAAAATCCAAAAATGTTGAGCTGGAAGGACGAGATGATTAAGATGCTTGCTGCATTCGAACAACAAACAAAATTGTCTTTGGACAACATTGAAATGGTATTCAAGCGTGGTGGCTATTTATTCGATGATGAATTCAAGCAATTTTACTTTTCCGCACACATAGTGTAAGGTGAAAAGTATTGTAATCGGTCAAAATTTTGAAAACTTCAGAAACATGTTTTCTGGACGTTTCTGAGGTCAGCGAACCCGAATCAGGCCGTTTTGAGCATGGTTTATGTTAATCTGTACGTCGTACGTCGTACGTCGTACGTCGTACGTCGTACGTCGTACGTCGTACGTTGTACGTCGTACGCAAAATTTGTTAGCAAGATTGCGCTCATCGTAGAAACTTAATTCAAAATCTGACTTTACAGGATGATTGGGGGTCCCGAGGAATAGAAATCATTAGCTTTTGAGCGACTTTGGTTGATGGGAAAAAATGTCATGCCTGGAGTGATACCTATGAAAAAGAGTCCAATTTTCGTCCAAAAGTCATACTTAATGTGGACTTAAACATTCAAAAATATGTATTGGGGGGTTTTTTGGCACGAGAAAACCGAATCTGAGGTTATTTTTGAGATACAATCAATTTTTAAAACAGTTTCCTTGAAAAAATCACAAAAAAAAATGAATTTTTGTATGGGAGCCATGCCTGTATGCTACCTTA